AGATGTTAATAGTAGGAGAAACTTTGTGTAGGGGAGAGAGAGATATGGGGACTCTCTATGCCTTCTGCACAATTTCTGCAAGCCTAAAACTGCTCTAAAAAATAAAGTCTGTTAATTTAAAAGGGATGTATTATTTTGGTAATCTTGCCCAAGTGGATCAAGAATGGCAGTGGGGAGACCAGTTAGGACTAGGAGTTAAGAGTTACTTTTATAACATATTTGACAGATGGTTTTTTTTTTTTTAATCAAAATTTGTTTCTTCTTGTAAGTATAGAAACTTACCATAAGCATAAAAATTATAATATCTAAAATACAGATTTTGATCATGCCAGCAGTGATACAGAGATATATTTTTAAAAGTATACTTTTGTTATAAGCTCATAAGATATAGTCTGTTTATACAGTTATGATTTTTTATTTTAGAACATTCTAATATTCAGCAGCACCTGTAATTGTCAGCAATCCAAAGTATGTTAGCCTTCTCTTCTTAGGTGATGTGCATTATATAGTAAATATTTTTCTCCTTTGATCATTATGTAAGCCATTCCCAATGAGTAGTCTCTTAACCTGAACTTAGGGTTCACTGAAAAAAAGAAACATTCTCTTTCTTATTATATAACTTTGATTGATTTAATGAAGCTGGTATTTTTCATTTATGAGTAACAAACCTAGTCATCATTATCTCATCAGTAAGATTTGGAAGAATTAACTATCTCATCTACATAATTTAAGAATTCTAGCTTGGTGAATTTCTTGGGTTCATTATATTTATTCTAATACTGTGTCATTTCATAAAGTGGCAAATAAAAGTGAAAAGGGTGAAAAACAACAGAAACTCTCTATTCTTGAAATTGTACGATGTGTATTTGCTACCCTATTTATTTGCATTGTTATTTTCTACTTGGTAGATGTATATATTTTCCTACCCAAATAAATTATTAATCAGTCCAAGAAGTCAGGAATGCCCTGTTCCCTTCAGCATCACTCAATCAATATCATTTAATTACCAGAATAAACTAACCAACATATTTCTGTTGAGGTTGTTTCATTAATATCCTGACATGTACATTGTTAAATACTGGAGCCATCTTTAGTCCTTATGTTTAGATCACTGTCCTTATCTAGAAATTTAGGAGATAAGATTGGGTAACTGTTAAGGGAAATTTTTTTTTTTTCTATTTTACCCCTTTGTCAAGTGCATTCTGACTCATAGCAACCCTGTAAGACGGAGTAGAACTTCCCCATAGCGTTTCCAAGGAGCAGCTAGTGGATTCAAAATGCCGACCTTTTGGTTAGTAGCCGCAGCTCTTAACCGCTGTGCAACCAGGACTCCATTTATTATTTCCAGGAGGGAGGGAAGGAGTAAATGTGCGTTGAATGAATGAATAAAGTAAGCAATGATCTGCTGCCCTTTGAAACTCTGATTAGAAACTATTTTGCAAACACTGTATATTCTTTTTGATTTTGTTTTACTTTGTGGAGGGAAGTATAACCTAAATGGATTGCCAGGATATTTGAGCCCTTGAACTTTTCACACAAAAGGATAAAATAGGAACAGGGAATTTTTTTTTTTTCTTTTTCTATTCATTCATTCACTCACTCAGCAAGTATTTATAGAGTGCTTATATGTACTCTGGAAACCCTGGTGGCGTGGTGGTTAACAGCTATGGCTGCAGGAGCAGGGCCAAGATGGCGGAGTAGTCAGACACTTCTGGTGGACCCTCTTGCAACAAAGACCCAAAAAAACAAGTGAATCAATTATATATGGCAATCTGGTAGCTGTGAACATCAAAGGCAGAGTTGAGGTACCAGACTGAGTGGCGGGGGAGGGAGAGGTGGTTCGGAAGCAGCGAGGAGTTGCCACACCTGACCCGGCGAGAGCCTGAGCCCTTCAGGCCTGATCAGCTCATGGTTAGTGGAGAGGCAAGCAAGCAGCAGTGCTGAGGAGGCATATTCCACACTGGGAGAGACCCAGCGGCAGAGAGTCTACATGGCCACCCAGAACCAGTGAGAAGCAGCCCTCGATCGGCAAAAGATAAGTACTTGTGTGCAGCCTACAGCATGGATCAAAAACACCCCCTTAGGGAAAAACGTCTCTTCCGTTTACCTCCCCGCTCCTTGCTCTGCACTGGGACCTGGACCGGCTTCAGCAATTGCTGAGTCCCCTGGGCCAGAAGTAGGATCCATCACACACCCGGTGCCATTTTCCCTGCCTTGGAGAGTGAACGAATTGACACACGGGAAAAAATAAACTGCTGGCTTCCCTAAGCTAGGAACCCAGGGTAGGCACAGCTCCTTTGCCTAGGCACAGGCATAAGGGATCCATGGACTTTGAGTACCTTTCCTTCTGCATAAACTTGTGTGGGTCCATTTCAACAGTGTAGGCCCTCATTACCGCAGTACAGCAGGGTATATACCGGAAGTCTAACTTCAACTGTTTCAGCTGTGAAGTGGCAGGTTCTTGACATTTGACGCTGCTCTGTCCATTAAGCAGGGTCTTCACCTACCCACACCAGGGGCCTGAGGACTGGTAGCTCCACCCATGCCACCTAGCCACTTGCGGTAGGGACCCATGAATAAGGGGTGCTCCCTAGTCCTTACAGCCAACAGTATTGGGTGCTCATAGTCCGGCTACAAAACCCACCCACCTATGAGCTCTAGGGAACAGGGACATGCCTTCCTCCTGAACACTTGGGGGCGGCCATCAGCCGCCTACCTTGCTCAGAGTGTGTCCCCCTGCTGCAGCCAGATGCCTGTGCCTATACCATTCACCCATGCCTGTCTAGGACTGTAAGTGAGAGCCTGCACCACACACTTGGTGGCTATTTACCTGGGCACCTGAGCTGAATCCATACAGGATGAGTGGGCGGACTCCTGAGCTCACATACCTAGTAACCGATCTAACCACCTGGTGACAGGACATTAGAGCTTCAAAGGTGCCAATAATGAAACTAGCTCATATGAGCAGCCTATTTGGGCATATCAAAACAAAACAAGAAGCTAGGACATAGTAAGCAAACATAAAATAAATATAATAACTTACTGATGGTTCGGAGACAACAGTCAATAGCAAGTCACATAAAGAGGCAATCCATGATGGCTTCAGCAAGCTCCCAAAATAAAGAAACTAGAAATTTTCCAGAGGAAGAAAATTTCTTGGAATTACTGGAGGCATAATACAAAAGATTAATATACAGACTGCTTCAAGAAGTTAGGAAGGAAATTAATCAAAATGCAGAATACACAAGAGAGGAACTTAAAAGATTAGAGAAGAGTATAATGACTAACAGGCTACAAGAATCCATGGAGAGACAGCAATCAGAAATCCAGAAGGTTAACAATAAAATTTCAGAATTAGACAACTCAATAGAAAGTCATAGGAGCAGAATTGAGGCAATAGAAGTCAGAATTAGTGAGAGTGAAGATAAAGCACTTGAAACCAACTTATTTTAGGAAAAATCAGATAAAGGGATTTAAAAAAATGAAGAAACCCTAAGAATTATGTGGGACTCTATAAGAGGAACAACCTACAAGTGATTGGAATACCAAAACTGGGGGCAGGGGTGGGGGTGTGGATAACAGAAAATACAAAGAGAATTGTTGAAGATTTGTTGGCAGAAAACTTCCCTGATAGTGAAAGATGAGAAGATATCTATCCAAGATGCTCATTGAACCTCACATAAGGTAGATCCCAAAATAAAGTCACTGAGACATATTATAATCAAACTTGCCAAAACCAATGATAAAGAGAATTTTAAGAGCAGCTAGGGATAAACGAAAAGTCATCTACAAAGGAGAATCAAATAAGAATAAACTTGGACTTCTCAGCAGAAACCATGCAGGCAAGAAGGCAATGGGATGACATATATACAGCCTTGAAGGAAAAAAACTGCCAGCCAAGAATTATATATCCCTCAAAACTGTCTCTCAAATATGATGGCGAAATTAGGGCATTTCCAGATAAACAGAAGTTTAGGGAATTTGCAAAAACCAAACAAAATTGTAAGAAATACTAAAGGGAGTCCTCCGGTTAGAAAATCAGTAACATCAGATAACAACCCAAGACTAGAACACAGGACAGAGCAACTAGATATCAACCCAGATAGGGAAGTCACAAAAATAAATCAAAGC